TAGTATTTTGATAACTAATTCAAACTCTTGTGTTTTAAAGCTGTTCAGAGTTATCTTGAACCATTTTTAAATCATTTTATAAGCACTTCAATTTCCTGTTGTTGCTGTTTCCAGTATGTATCTTTTTTTTGCATTTTGAATCTGAAGACTCATGTAGTTGAATCACGGTTTTTTTATCTAGTTTGACAATCTCTGCCTTTTAATTGTATTATTTAATCCATTTATAGTAATGTTATTATTGCTGTAGTTGGATTTAGGCTGCCATTTTATTTTGGTGTTTAATATATTTGTGTCTTCTTTTTCCTTCCTCCATTATTGCTTTATTTTATATTAAAAGATTATTTTCTAGTGTGACATTTTAACTCTTTAATGATTTTTAAACCGTCTTGAAATTGTGTTTTTTATATATATAATTACTCTAGGATTTATCACATCTTAATTTACTGGGATTAACTTCAGAATTTTTTATTATTTTTATTATTTTATGTGTGTGTATTGCCAAATCGGATCTGACTGGTACAAGAGGAGATTGCCCCTCCTTCTCCAGCAGAGCATCTGTTGTATTCAAACTATGTACCTCTGGGATTGCAGTACAGCTTCTTGCCGCTAGGCCACCAGAGCTCCCTTAACTTCAGATTTATAGTAACATAATTTTACTAATACATATAAATGCTATTGGATGCCATCAGGTTGACTACAACTCAGCAACCCTGTGAGTCTTGCCTAATCTTGTGTCATTATAAACTGTGACATGCCTGTGCCCTTTGTTCCATTCATTGTGTCAGTTCATGTTGTTGAGGGTCTTTCTTTCTCTGACCCTCCACCCTTCTCTCAGTATGATATCATATCTTTTTCCAGGAATTGTTCCCTACTGACTACATGAGAATTTCTCTTTTCTTGATATTGAGAGACAATCCATATTGAAGACCATAGTCTTTGATCTTCTACAGCAAGATTTGTCATGTGCATAATGCAGGTTATTGATGAGCCTTCCTCTAATCCTGATCCTACACTCTTCTTCATATAGCTTTGTTTCTCAAATTATTTGCTCAGCATACAAATTGAATATATATAGAGAAAACACAAAACCTGATGCACATCTTCCCAGATTTTAAACCATGCATTGTTCCTTGCTCTGTTCCGTTAAAAAGCTTCTTGGTCTAGGTAGAGGTTTCACATGAACACAATTAAGTGTTGTTTGATTCCCATTCTTCTCCATGTTGGCCTATAATTTATTGTGATTCACAGTCAGATGCCTTTGCATGTCAATAAAAGATCTTTCTGGTATTCTCTGCCTTAAGCCAAGATCCATCAAACAGTATTAGGCTTCTGAATTCAATTTGAGCTTCTAGCGGTTCCTTGTCAATGTACTGTTTCAGTTTTTGCTTAATTAATCTTCAGCAAGATTTTACTTGCGTATGATATTAATGATACTATTTGATAATGTTCACATTCTATTGGATCACTTTTACCATAATTTTTTTCTTTCCTGGAAGCAGCAGACAAGTCAGGAGAAAATCAATGTGTGGCTAATTTCTGTCATGGCCAACTGCCTTTTTAGCTGTGAGGCCAGAATTGAATGGTGCCCAGTTACCCTTATGGAACATTTTAATCAGAAATTCCATAAAGCATCCTGATGAGAAGGGAGAAAATGTAGAACAGATTTTCAAATTTTCATGGACCCTAGACCATTGCCAATGTCAGATGGATCTTGGCTGAAAGCAGAGAGTACCAGAGAAGTCCCTCTATGTTTCATTGACTATTCAAAGGCATTTGACAGTGTGGATTGCAACAAATTGTGGCTAATCTTGAGAAGAATGAGAATCCCAGAACACCTGATTGCTTATGCAAAACCTATACTTGGACCAGGAGGCAGTTGTCGGAACAAAGCAAAGAAACAATGTATAGTTCAAAATCAGAAAAGGAGAGTAGCAGCAATGTATCCTGTCCATATCTTTTCAGTGTGTATTTAGAACAGATCATTTGAGAGTCTGGACTTTATGAGGAGGAATATGGCATCAGGATGGGAGGAAGACTCAACAATAACCTATGCAGATAATACAGCCTTTTTTGCCGAAACTGAGGAGGGCCAGAAGCATCTGCTGCAGAGTATCAAAGACTGTATTATGTAATATGGATTGAAACAACATTAAGAAAACAGATTCTCACCACTGGGCCAATTAGCAGCATCGTTATAGATGGAGAAGAGATTGAGGTTGTTAATAATTTCAGCTTGTTTGGTTCTACAATCAACACTCTTGGCACCAGCACTCAGGAAATCAAAAGACAACTGCATTAGGGAAATCTGCTGTCAGGGACCTCTCCAGAGTGCTGAAGAACAAGGATGTCAGTCTAGAGACTAAGGTGTGTCTGATCTAGGCCATGGTCTTTGTGTTTACTTTGATGCTATGCATCAGAGAGCTGGACAGTGACCAAGGATGACAGAAGAGGAATTGATGCCTTTGAGTTGTGGTGCTGGAGAAGAATATTGAACATACCATGGACTGCCAAGAGAACAGACAGGTATAGTCCAGAAAGGGTGAAACCAAGCTACTCCTTGGAGGTAAGGATTTTGAGACTTCTCACATACTTTGGACATGTAGCCAGGAGGGACCAGTTTTTAGAGAAGGATATCATGCTTGGTATGGTGGAGAGGCAGCATAGGAGAAGACGACCCTGGATGGGATGAAATGACTTAATAACTGGGGTATTGATGGTAGGTGTGTCAGAGACAGTGAGATGGCTCAGGAAAAATCAGGATTCAGAGCTGTTGTGCATAGGGTCACTTTGAGTCATACTGAGCTTGATGGCACATGACAACAGCAACAACCAGACTTCTGAAACCATAGAGGTTAAATGAACTGCTGAAATAACTAACTCAAGATAATCTTTAAACCTTAAGTAAAAAATTCCACTGGAATGTTCTTAAAACGAAACAATATTAGGCAGCTCTGGTGGCCTAGTGGCAAGAAGCTGCACTGCAATCCCAGAGGTACGTGGTTCGAGTCCACCAGATGCTCTCCTGGAGAAGGAGGGGCAATCTCCTCCTGTACCAGTCAGATCTGATTTGACAGTACACAGAAAAAAAAGAATAAAATAAAAAGATACTTTAAAAAACAATAACAACAAACTAAACAGTATTGTCATTGTTAGATGCCAACAAGTCAGTTGTGACTCAGTGACCCTATCACCTATCAACAGATAGAATCTTGTGCTGTCTTATGTCATCATCACACTCTCTGTTGCACTCAAGCCCATTATTGTAGTCACTCTCTCAGTCCATCTTGTTGAAGGTCTTCCTCTCTTTAGCTGACCCTCTGGCTCTTCTGGCATGATGTCCTTTTCCAAGAACAGGCCTTTCCTAGTAGACAACATGCCCAAGTATGTGAGATAAAGTTTCACCTACTTTCCCCCTAAGGAGCACCATGGTTGCACTTCTCCAAGGCAGATTTGCTTGTTCTTATGACAGTCCATGGACTGTTCATTACATTGCCTGTGTACTGTGTTGCAAATGAAGTTCCTTTCCTAAGAAATTTATGCTTGTTTTCAGGACTGCTTCTCTCCTCAGGCAAAACCGCTGAGCTGAATTCCAGAGCTAAGGTTGATGCATGACAGGCTTCTCTCTGAGTGGTATTTTTTTGCTCTGGAAGCTTGTTGCTTTTTTGTGGTTTGGCATCAGCTGAGATTTACTTACTTTACCTCTGCTGTGATGGAACCACCATTTCAAGCTAGAAGGGTTGTTAGATTTCTAGTATTTCTGTAGGGTGCTCAGCATAGAGCCTCAGTTTTATAAGTAGATTTTGGTAGATTTTGAGCTAGAACTCAGCCTCAATTTTCCAAGTAGATGTTGGTAGATTTTGATCTAGAACTCATGTCCTGAAGACATGAATCAGAATAGCATTTGCCTCATTTTGGTCTTAGAATCCCTTCTTAAGGAAGTTCAGAACTGAAATGTACCCTTAATATCCAGTTTCCTGATAATTGTATGATGTAAGAGAATGAGACTTGATTTCTCCTACTAATTTTTCAGACAGACAGAATGAATTTGCTAATACAGAAGTACTTGTGGAATGGAATGGGACACTTAGACTCTAGGTAATTTTTTCATGGGGGTGCACAGTACCGTTGAATGAATTCCTGTCACATTGGCTTGGAGTTGTTGGCATTCTCTCTTTTGATCTCTTTGGCCTAATTTAGCTGTCAGGATCAGCAGATTTCTTCTTTGTTTTACTTTGTTGCAAAGCACATTACAAAGTCAAACAAAAGAGATTTAGTGATAAACAGAAGACAGTCTAGACTAAGAAAACAGCTGTAATCAAGGAGTTAGAATGGCTGCTCAGCTGGACAATGATGAATTTATTCTTAAAAAGTTGGAGTGGGAACAAAAAGTTATAGAATTAACTGGAAAATAATAAAAAACTTAAAAGCACAGTATTTAGAAGCAAGAATTTGTCTGAGGAGGGTGCCTGACACAAAAATAGGATTACAAGATTTGGGTAAAGGTATGTGCCTTTAAGTTTCTCCTAGGAGGGTGACAGGACAAGTTTTTTGGGCAACCTTTTAGTAAAATTACTTCTAGGTAATCTCTTTTTCTTGGGTCCATTGTAAACACTTATTGATAATGCTGTCCATGAAGCTTTTGCATCCTGCATCTTTTTGACAACACTGAAAAAAAAGACCCTTTGAGAATAGATGTGACATTATGCACTTGCTAGACTTCAGAGAAAATGAATGCGTTCCTTAAAGTGTCTTGTTAGGTTAGTATCAGTATTAGAGGAACTGCTGGTTAGAAAGGCAGCTGTTCTTCATATCTGGCCTGGATTCCATATATGTGTCATATTAAGACTTTAAAGTGAGGTTAAAGCTCCACTTTTAGACTGCTCGAGTTAGACATACTAAGTACTTAGAATTTAAACTCTCATACGGCTTTCATCTTATATTAAGAGTTGCTTTTAAATATTTTTTTTCCTTTTTTTTTTCTCTCCCCCCTCCCTTCCCAGGGGCCACTAAATAGTGAGTCTTCCAATCAGAGCTTGTGCAGCGTGGGGTCCTTGAGTGATAAAGAAGTTGAGGTAAGAAGCCACATTCATTCCATGATTTTTGCTGTTCTATCACTTTCAGTATGAGTGAAAAGATAGCAGGGCCTAACTATGGGAGGAGGTGGGTAGGGACAGGTAGTGTCAATGAATAGCGCACTCCTTTGAGTTGTTTGCTTATATATTTGTGCGGGGATCTGAAGGATTTTGGGTTTTTTTTTTATCAAGTATGTGTGTTTATGTGTGTGTGTGTAGAACCCCATTCCTCACTTCTAGAGAGTGGTCTCAGAGAGTCTCACAGAGGTGTATCTTTTCTGATAAATCTATCTTTACTTTTTACCTTTCAAAAAAACCAAAACACACACACAAAAACCCCACAACAAAACAAAAACCCCACATCATAATATATCAGATAGTTCAAAGCAGGTTGGTTGATTTTTGCAGAGACTTGCTTTGAGGGTTAGGTTTAAGCTTACCTATTTCTTTTTGTCTCTTCTCAAATTGAGATTTATGTGTGCACTTTTTGCCATCAGGATGACTCACAGTAACTGTGTAGGACAGGACAGAACTGCTCATCATAGGTGTTCAAGGCTGTAATCTTTATATTGACACACACGGCTGCATCTTTCTCTGAATGGCTGGTGTGTTCATTTTATCCATTGTATCATCAGAGCTCCTTGTATATGTCTACCAGAACCCACTGCCACTGTCTAGATTCTGACTCAAGCTGACCCTAAATTTTGTAAACTGGATTGAAAGTGAAAAGCAAAGTAAGCATTAGGGTTATGAAAGCATTTAGGATTTATATAAATTTCTATCATATTTAGAAACAAATACTTTTAAAATTAGAAAATAATCTCTTAACTAGATACACTAGTTGAAAGATCAGACTTCTTATGTCTGTCTTAACCATTTCGCCTCTGATCTAAAAGCTTTATCCTCCACTCACTTTTCACCGTGGGCTTAGGTTCTAAAAACCAGATCAGTATGTGAAAAATCTGAATTATGCGAAAATGGAGGATAACTGCATTATTGCGTAACTAAGAAATTATATTCTTGCAAAACGGAGAATACCTTTGAGACTCTTGGCTCAATCAAGTTGACACGTAACCTTAACCATCATAGCCAACTTTGTTTTCACCTGTACCTTGACATTTATTACTGCCAGGCAAATGCCTTGGTGTGCAAGATAGTTGGATCAGAGATTTCTCTCCCTCCTATATTTTTTTAATTAATGATTTTTAATGCATCGTGTACATCATATTCTTTCCATTTAATTTCCCCCCCCATTCATTCATTGTTGCACAATTTTCCTCCCTGCCCACCCCTGCCCCCAATTAATTTTTCTCTTTGAAGGGGAGAAAAATTCTTTTGTTGTTATACAGTACCCCCCCCCCCCGAGTCCTCCTTTATTTTTTTAAATGTGAAATACTGAATAGTGAGATAGTTGATAAATGAGAAGTTCAGTAGGTATATTTTATCTTTAGAAGTAAAAATATTTACAATTATTATTTGAAAGCCTACTGCTCTTTCTCTCTCACACACACTCACACACACACATACACACAAACAATTTGGGCATTATAAATACTTAATTTGGGGTTTGCAGTTACTGTGAATTACAGGTTAGAAAATTGAGGCACTGATATTTTAAGCCACATGCCCAGAATTGTGTAGGTGCTTTGGTACCAAACCCTGTACCTTTTCCATTACTATACTTGTCTATACCATTTATATCTTGTTATCTTGTTATACATAAATGTTTTGTACATGATCTCCCCTTTTTCATAATGTGATAGATATACCAGATTGCTAATTGTGATGTATATGGTATTTCACAGACTCCTGAGAAAAAGCAGAATGATCAGCGCAACCGGAAAAGAAAAGCTGAACCTTATGAAAGTAGCCAAGGTAGTGATAATTGCATGCCAATAAAAATAAAAAATTCTCATGCGTTTAGAGTTTTCTCAGTCCCGCTAAATAATTAGTTTGCATACAGGGATTCCTAACCAAGGAGATTTGTGTAGCATAAGGGAATATCAGGATGTTTGTTACAGACGTGCCATTTGATATACACCTGACGAAACAGTGTCAGTTCTTTGGGGATTCTTGTTTTCCCTCAGTAAGTTAATGATTTTCTTGTCACAGCTTTTTCTTCAGACGAGACATGTATAGAAAAGAGCTTGCAGTAGAGTTTTACTGTGTCTTACTTTAAAGCAGAGATTTGTTAATAATGGGCTGCCATTAACGGTTTCATTTACATTGTTGTTCGTTCCACCATCTGTTCTTCCATCACAGTTATTTAGTTGAACATTGAAATACTCTAAAATAATTTCTCAATGGAATAGTTAAAATGCCAAATATTTCTATATAATAATTTGGCTCCCACCTCCCATTCCAAGAAATGGAAGTCCCAGTCTGTTTGCATATTTTCTTTCTTAACAGGACATATTTTACTTGAAAAGGAATAAACCCTTCAATTCTGATGAGTTTGTTTTGAGCTTTCCTTTGTCTTAGATGTTATTTAGGATTGGATGCTTGGACTGTAGATTTATTTGAGCTCATAGTTATGGCCTATGTTTTGTTGGTGTATGTAAAAAAGAAAAGATTATTGAATGTTAAAGGAATGAAAGTTCCCTTTCACTGCTTAGTCATTCTGTTACTACAGAGAAGAAATTGTCTCTTGTTAGGGTACAAGTATTTTGGCTCTTTTGTTAAGAGGTGATTCTGTCATTTGAGTTGATTGTAACATACACAGTTATTGAATACATAGTGCATTGTAGTGAATGATAATTTGTATTCACTGGAAAAACTCTACTTACTTTGATTTCATTTTCAGGAAAAGGCACTCCTAGGGGACATAAAATTAGTGATTACTTTGAGGTAAGTTAAATTTTTGAGAAAAAAAAAACAAAAAACAACCCACCAGAAAAACACAGCGGTTTATAACCAAACCAAACAAAAAAGCCTCTAAATTCTTGAGTTCATGGAAAGCTTTAGAAAGTGGTATTTTAACTGTGTACTCTCCTCCCCTCCTTTCCTGTTTTCATCAACCTAATTCTGTCCCATCTCTCATTAAGAGGAAACTACTGCTGACTTCCTAAATTAAAACTGTTTAATATGTGTCTTGTCTGTGATGATATAAGAATTCACAAATGAGGGGATTTTTCTCTTGGCTAGACTGGGTTTTGTGTCTTATAAAGATTGAAATGGAATGACTTGGAGTCATCTTTTTGTCCTCTTCCCTTGAGTTCTGTGAAACACATAATGAGCTTGTTGACCATCATTAGTGGTTTCTAAAGAAGGTACTTACCATCCACTGTACCACTGTATTCCTGCTTGGTGTATTTGGAGAAAAGAAAACATTCTTCTCTCATGTTCTTTCAAAACCATGTGTTCAGCCTTTTAGCCATATTTTCTTTTTACCTTGGTACATTTCTGCCGGATCTCTTTCTTAAAAATCTTACAAAGGTAGCAAAATTTTACTTATGTGGTATATTCTCCCTACAATAAGATGTATTAATTTAAGGGGCAATATATAATTAAGACCTGTTTGTGTATTAATCTTTTACTCTCCTTATCTAAAGCATAGTACTGTTTTGAATTATTCATATCCATTTTTCCCTGTTGGCCAGTTTGCTGGGGGAAGCGGGCCAGGAACCAGCCCTGGCAGAAGTGTTCCACCAGTTGCACGATCCTCACCGCAGCATTCCTTATCCAATCCCTTACCGGTAAGCACTCACCTGGAGAGATTCGACACCTGTCATGTGTAGGAGCCAGAGAGTCCAGGAACGCTCAAGCATAATTCTTCTTCATTAATTACCCATGAGAGATGAGGCATTAGGAAGAAAATTCCTTGTATTAACTGAATTCTTGACTTAGATTCAAATTTAGATAAAAAAATTTATCTTTTTATAAAGCACTACTTTTATTATTGCAATACTAAATTGTTTATAAGACTGTACCTCAGCTTTCTGTCAAGGAAGTCGTTTCCAGTTCAAACCTTAGGTTTTTATCCTTGCCAGGCTTTTTTGTCCTTTAACAACATTTCCCCCACCCCCCTTCAGCTTGTGGCATTTGAATTATCCCCAGAGATGCTCTGTGCTTTAACAGTAAAGAATTTGAGATAGGTTTGTTTCCAGCCTGTAAGTGAGAGCTGAAGGTCTTACAAACATGGCTTAGTGTTTCTTTATAAGAGGCAGTTTTACTTCCACAGGGATATTTTGTAATGTCCATAGTAATTATGATTGTCATAAATGAAGGAGGGAAATACAGATCCCATACACATGTATTGGGCAGAGATGCCAGAGATGTTGTTGAACATCTTGAAATGAGTAGAAAGACAACTTGACAAAATTATCTAGTCCAAAATGTCTGTAGCACTGAGGGTAAGAAACCTTGAACTGGCAAATGTAGGATTTTGTGTTAATTTGCCCAGGTGCCTTTGGAGAATTTGTTGATAGGAAGGAAGGCACTAATTGCAGTGAGAGCTTGGGGGACAAAGTAGGTGGGGATGGTTTTTATCCTCTATTTGCATTTAGCAAAGTTATTTTTTCGGCCTTAGAATTGGATTTTATTGTTCTTTCTATAAAGAATTTATACTTTTGTAATTTTTAAAAAAGTATTTAAAAATACATTTCTTAAAAAAAATACATTTCTTTCTCTTCTTCTATCTCAAAAATAATGCATTCATTCGTGTGATTTTAATTTTTTAAATCACTTAGGAAAACCTAATCAAATTAAAGATTTTTTGCTATAGTTTTGTCATTCTTACTGTGTTTTAAAATGTTAGAATTGCCTGATATCTGAATTTTTCTTTTTAAAGTTGAATTGTGTTCGTCTACCGGGTGTGCTTTTTATGAAATGAACATACGTTATATAAACAAGCAAACAGATTCTAGGACAAGCTGTATTTTACAGAATTTACCCATGTTGTCTGTTGTCTTTGTTGTTTATTGACCATTGATGACCATTTCATCCTTTTGTTGTCTGCAGACCTCCCAACAGTATCTCTTCCCCTCTACTTCTCAACTGATGGTGTTACTCTGTTTTACTGAGAAAATAGAAGCAATAAAAAGAGAGCATGGGTACATGCTTTTGCCCCAGATCTACCAAACTACTTGTATCTATACGCCATCTGAAAGAAGTTGCTGGCTCATCTGCTGAGCACCAGTCTTCCTGATAATTTTATTTCCAGCTTACTTCTTGACCTTTCCCTAATAAACAGGTTGAACTTTAATATGTCAGAAACAGAATTCTTGATCTCGATTCACTTCCCAAAATAACAGTAACAGGCTTTTTGTAATCTGCCCTGTTTAAGTAAATAACAGTGTGCTCTATCTTGTTTTTTAGGCTATAAACCTAAGATACAAACCTGTAAATCTAAGATACAAGTCTAACCCATAAATAAATTTAACTTGTTCTCCCCTTAAAATATATCAGCGTCTGATCACTTTTCAGTTCTTTTTCTCCATTTGCCTGCAAAGTGGTCTCTAAATTTCTGCCCTCATCCCACCTTTTCTAATTATAGTACCTAGAGTTGTTCTGTTAAACTCTAAAGGAAGATTTTTGTACTCCTCTGCTCAGAACCCTTCAGTAGCTTCCTTTATCCATGCCTTCTATCAGCTAGATTCCCCTATCCAATCTCTCATTGTGCTCTCCACCTGACTCACATCTTTTCCTGCTCCCCGGTCCCTTTTCCTCCTTTATTCTCTCTCCTCCTCTTCCTCCTCCCTTCCTCCCTCTTTACCCTGCCTCTCCTCATTCTTCTCCCTCTCCTCCCTTTCCCCCTTTTCTTCCTTCCCCCCCTTGCCCTTCTTGCCCCTTCCTTGCCATACAACCACACTGAGCCCCTTAACAGTTCCCCATTGCAAAGCACTTTTTTCATTTAAAGCTCTGTACATGTTATTCCCTTATCCAGGAGCACCCCAAAAGCCTTATGACTAAGTCTCGTCATGAGGGTATTGCTAAAGAATTATCAGTGATCTCTCTTTCCTGGCCACCTTTCTAATAACATCACTTTGTCATTTTGTCCCTAAACTTGCCTCATTTTTCTTACTGATTACTCCTTGTCATACATATTTTAAAATTTATGTATATATATATTTAGCACTTTTTACTGATTCCTGTTTCTACATGAAGAATATGCAGTTTAATGAATTTTTTTATTATTATTATTTTGTGTGTGAGTACTGTCAAATCAGATCTGACTGGTACAGGAGGATATTGCTCCTCCTTCTCCAGCAGAGCATCTGGTGGATTGCAGTTTAATGAATTTTTACAGACGGCATATCTTGATGATCAGCATAAGAAACAAAGTAGTTCCAGCTCCCCAGAAAGTCTTTGTGTTCCCTTCTTGTCAGTAAACACTTCTCTATCTCCCCCACCTTAACCTCCAAAGGAATCACCACTGTCCTGCTTCTGACAGCATAGATAAGTTTGTTTTTCTTTATAGGAAAAGAATCAAGCAGAATGTATTCTTGTATCTCTAGCTTCTTTTGTTCAGCTTTAGTTTTAGGAGAGTACCATGTTTTGTCTAGTAGATAATTCTTTATCGTTGTTGTGGTATAGTTTGAACACAATTGTAATTTAATATTTTATGTTTAATTATGTAATTTATTCATTGTTCTCTCATCAGAATGAATCCCATGAGAGCAAAGGCTTTGATTTGTTTATTGGCACTTCCTTCTGTTACTACTTAATATGAGCCTCCCTTCTATCATAAACAAGAAACCACACAAACCAGTCCACACGTGCTGCCATTAAGTGGACCTGCCTCACGGTGACCTGCCATCAGGGCCTGAGACTGTACATAATGTCTTTATGGGAAGTTACGGTTTTATCTTCCTTCTGCACATGGCCAGTGGTTTAAAATTGTCATCCTCTTGATTAGGAGCCCAGCACTTAATATTCTGTGCCACCAGAACCCTTACTTAACACATAACAGTGTAGTTATTTTATGTTATTTCCCCCTCTTGATTTGGAAGTAATAGCTTTAGTTGTTAGTAATTGTTACTGTATGTCTGTGGGTTGATGGTAACCCATAGTGACCCAGTGTGATAGAATAGCACTGCTTCAGAGGATTTCCTAGGCTGTGTATTTACAGGAGCACATCTCCAAGTCTTAACATTCAGAGTGACTCGTGGGTTCACACTGCTTACTGCTAAACTCAGTTAAGCCTACCAAGGCTCAGTCTCTGTTACATAGTTGAATGCACAAAACTGATAGTTAAAAGAGAAGATTGGTGAAAAAAATACTTTAGCCTTTATTACTTTAATTGATTAATTTATGTTTCAGTTGTTAAATAGGGAGTTCTGGTGGCTTAGTGGAAAGGAGTTGTGCTGCCAGACCAAAGGCATGCGGTTTGAATCTACCGGTTACTCTACAGGAGAAAGATGGGCAGTCTCCTCTAGTGCAATTAACTGCCTCTGAAAATCTGCTGGAACGTCAGCTCTGGGTCTATTCCAACTCAGTGATACACTACAATTCATTGTTAAAAATAACAAGCTACCAAAAAAGTACATAAAACATAAAAAAGAGCTGAAAATTATTTTCAGATTTTTAAAGGGTTAAAAAAAAAAAAGCAAAGGCATAAGACAGATAATATGTAACCTTTAGAGCCTAAAATATTTATTCTGTGATCCTTCACAAAGTAATTTTTTTCCAAGAAAACTGTTGGAAAGTTAATGGCTGTGTAATCACTGCTTGGGTGATTTCTGACACCTTAGGAATCTCTGTGCTCTCCTGTAGTGTGGGTCCTTCCGTCATCTCCAGAGATGGCCTGTTCTTATTTCTGTGATCATCATTTGCTTTTCCTTATAAGTTGACTGTTTATTGTATCGCTAAGGAGTTGTTTAGCCTTGTCAATATTAATCACGATGTTTATATCTTTTTTGATTTTTGACTTTTGAGTCTATTGATCTCTAAGAGAGGTATGTATAAATCTTTTACGTTATAATTGTGAGAGTTGTCTGTTTTGTCATGCATCTCTATTAATTTTTTGCTTTGTGTATTTTGTGCCTATATTGCTTACCTAAAAGCATTATTTTTAACACAGTGATGTATATCATTACCATCTTGGGGATCCTATTGTGACTCTCTGGGAAATCAGCTTTTATTTACTTCTTTCTTTGAAAACATTTGCACTTTCCCCCTGGCTGCATTTAAACTCTTTCCCTGTGGTAACCTGTAGTTTCACTATGAAGTGTCTTTTTATTTCTCCTGTTTAAAATTTGTTGGGCCCTTGAAATAGGTGTGTTAGACTCTTTCACCAATGCTGAATCATTAGGAAGTATTGATTTTTTCAAATATGATGTCTGCTTTGTGTTGTTCTACTTTAAGTTCCAAAATTCTCTGTGTAGTTACATCTCATTTACTGTTAACCTAATTACATTCTTCAGTGTTGGTTGCAGTATTGTGCTTTTTCATATGTTAGCCCTTGTTCTGTGTTTTCTGAACCACATAATTAGAAACTCAATGCTACTGAGTCAGATAAACTCATCGTTGACTCTCCACTGGATTTATGGCTGACCCTCCCATGAATTTCTCGAAACTGCAAACTGTGTGAGAGGAGATTGCCCATCTTCTCATGAAGCCAGTGCACAATTGGAACCATCAGTAGACATAGCCTCTGAGTTAGCAGCACAACTCTCTATGGACTAGAGCGTCAGAGCCCCCTAGTAATCCTATTTATTTAAAAATCTCTTTGTTAATTCTGGTATCTAAGGGGATT